TACGAGCAGTCAGTTTTATATGACATTAATTAAACTAAAATTGCATAAATCCTGTAATTTCCAGTCAAAAATATAATAATAATTTCGGATGATTATGCAACCCCAATTTTATGTAACGTTTTCATCAAATAGTTTAAAAGAAACAAGCATCCTTATCTTTTGCTGTCATGATTGAAATTAATTAAATAGGTACTAAAACTGATGCAATTACGTATATACCACTTCGTAAAGTGATGCAATAACATCAAAATTATTTAAAGTATAATACAGAATAAAATAATATAATATAACAAATTTATAATTATTATTTAAAGCACGATTGGTTATAAAATTAACTTTGTTTATGTGTCTATATATATATATAGCCTATATATATAGTTTATTGTCAAATAATTTAATTTTAAATCTTACTTTTGGAATTTTTTGAAAGCTATTTAAAATTAAAAGTATATCTACACATCTATTACTTATTATGAAATGAGCATTACATTGACAACATTAATTAATAATACTATTGAATTTAATCTTACAAAGTATTCATAGAACTAGTACATTTTGAAGGAAAATAGTACATTTTTTGAAGGCGCTTCAGTACGTTTTGAAATTTCATTGCGGCAACACTGCACTGCTTGTATGGAAAATACAAGTAGTGTTGCATGGTTGAAAGAAATAGTTGTCGGATGTTTCGATCTTTAGGACCTAGAGGTGGCGAACGTATGGCACGTTAGGAGAAATCATCTGGCACATAACGTTATCATATGATTTCCATTTATCACCTGTCTTTTTTAATTATATTTTTGGTTTACACCCAGTCCTCCTTTTTCAAACCGTTTTCTACATTTATTGTAAAGCTAATTCGTTTAATTTAATAAATATCATTACTCGGAGTGTAGAACTTTAGTGTGCGTAAACATCTTTAAAGCTAAATATGCTTACAATATGGCACGCTGACTCAAAAGTCTTCCCACCTTCTTTCTAGGCTATTGGATAGATGAGCGAAAATCTCGCAGAATGATCAAGCAGATTCTTCCATGTTTACCATGACACTGGAATCTTCTGTTATGAAGAAAGATCTTGCAGATCTTTCGATGTAGTATGTAATGAACTACGATACACTGATCGCAACTAAGTGTTTTGCCGATATCTTGCGTGGTCGTCAGTGGATGGACTTCAATTAGCTACCGCTGTTCGTCGTCAAATAGGACAAAAGACATTTCTCTGCGTGGCTCACCTTCGACTTCATATTGCCCAAATTTAAATTTACCGAATCAATCGTAGATGGTAGACTGGATATTACTGCCAAACAATTACACTATAAGACTATAAGATTAGGCTTTTTCTATACCAAGTTGATAATCGTAAAGCACACATTGCGAATTTGATGACGAGAAAGCGTTGGAAAACTTGACATATTTAAAACGTGGTATCATATAGAATATATTTTCAATTATGACTGTTCATCTCAACTCCTCTCATTTACTTACCTCGCAAGTAATTTCTAGACGTTATCTTTCAGCGATCAATTTTGTAGAATAAACAAACTCTAGATAGGTGTAAAAATTCCAGAAACCTTTGCATCAACACACTATTTCATAGTGAAAGCTTACAAAACACAAACCGAATATTACATTAAAAAGGCAGAAATGTATTAACCTGTAGGAACATCGGTACACCATCTGGTAATGATCCACAAGAATATTCACCATTTTTGACAGCAGTAGCCAACTCATGAATGGTTCTTGGCAACGGCTCGTATATAGGCGCAGTGAGAAACGAAATTAATATTCCGGCATAACTAAGTCCTAAAACAGAAATTGATAATAACCAAACTCCGATTGATATTCTTGACGAATTTTCTCTTATGGAATTCAAGTTACTTCCTGTAATAGAAAAAGCCCATGTATACTTACGAATAACTTCATTCTTCATTCTTCGAATTTTATACAAACCTTGCAGAGAGAAAGTGGCTAGAAGAAACATAATGGTTTTCTCAACTGACCAAAACTTCTTGCATCTCTTTATATTTTTGCCAGAGTTTATTATTTGTGGTAAGATGATTCCAAGTAGAACTATCGAAATGCCAATTGCGATCCAAAGCTTTAAAACAAAATTATGTACAGTACAATAACGTTATTTGTATCTGAATACGAAGAATTTTTAACAGTATTCTTATTAAGACAGAATTTGATTTTTTATTTGTATAAAAGTATAACTTTCTGAATCTATAATATAATCGAGACGGGTTGAAGATAATAATGATAATAATAAGTGCAGAGCCCAAACGGTTAGGAGTTGAAAGTTGAAATTTAGAACATAGATAGGGTATGTCACGAAAACGCACACTAAGAAGGGATTTTTCGAAATTCCTCCCGGGAGCGGAAGAAAGACAGGATTAAGGCTTAACACTTTCAACAACAATGGAAGTGTTAAGTAACAATGGAAGTGTTACGTAACAATGGTATTGTTAAGAGAAAGCGACGTGCAAGATTTACAGGCGCAGATGCAGTTCTTTCGTTTTTGCTGGAAATCGAACATATTTTTAGAACCATCTAAAAGTTCTCTAATTAGTCTGGAAACAAGGGGACTCAATTCTTGCATTCTGTGAAAACGGGTAAGGTTGACTGTAACGTAATAATCTTTATCTTAGTTATCGTTACTTTTGCCCGAGCAACGCCGGGCCCACCTGCTAGTNAATTCGAATTACAGTACCTCGGAGAGATGTTCCGTTGGTCTCAATCTGGTTTCTTATGAATCGTCGGTAAAACGTTCCTTCTGGTCAGTTGGCGATTTGCAGGGAGTTATCCGGGGGAAGAAGGAAACAATGCGTCACACGCTCACAAGGTAAAAGACGCCAAGAAGGATCGGCTGGAAGATCGGGCGCGCTGCCATTATATTCTCATCGTGTGTGAGCATTTGGTCAGGTGATCTAATGTTTGTAGTGATGACACTCCGAATGTTTCATTGCAGGGCCGGTTAAGGCAGTGAGAATCGAACTTATTGTCAGATTCATACCGTGAAATCCGTTTATATAACGACGTTCCCACGTATCAACAATAAACATTTAACCGTTAAAATTTTTATCGATTAACTCCCGGAATCTTACAATATCATGTAAACAATTTGAACTGCTCATAGAAATTGGTTTAATCTGGAAATTTGGGGGAATTCTAGCTTATTAAACTCCTTGTGACATTAAATCTTTTTCTATTCGATCCAACGCTCGTAAATTCATTTCTACCATAGAAAAACGAATGACTCAAAATCATTCCTTTTTCTATGGTAGAAATGAATTTACGAGCGTTGGATCGAATAGAAAAAGATTTAATGTCACAAGGAGTTTAATAAGCTAGAATTCCCCCAAATTTCCAGATTAAACCAATTTCTATGAGCAGTTCAAATTGTTTACATGATATTGTAAGATTCCGGGAGTTAATCGATAAAAATTTTAACGGTTAAATGTTTATTGTTGATACGTGGGAACGTCGTTATATAAACGGATTTCACGGTATGAATCTGACAATAAGTTCGATTCTCACTGCCTTAACCGGCCCTGCAATGAAACATTCGGAGTGTCATCACTACAAACATTAGATCACCTGACCAAATGCTCACACACGATGAGAATATAATGGCAGCGCGCCCGATCTTCCAGCCGATCCTTCTTGGCGTCTTTTACCTTGTGAGCGTGTGACGCATTGTTTCCTTCTTCCCCCGGATAACTCCCTGCAAATCGCCAACTGACCAGAAGGAACGTTTTACCGACGATTCATAAGAAACCAGATTGAGACCAACGGAACATCTCTCCGAGGTACTGTAATTCGAATTGTAAACTCTCTCTCGGTCTTGACAATGGCGTTTGAAACGTCGAGCATGATTCCATTGACGTTCCAAACGCCATTGTCAGACTTCTAGGCTTACAGGAAGGCGGCGCTGAACGTCCGACGTTCACGTTTTCGCGATGAAAACGTCGGTCGCAACCCCTATATTATTTATATTAAAATGATATAACTTCACAACATTACAAATTTTTATGATATTATGAAAAGTAGCATATCGTTATCAAAATTAGCATATAATAAAAATAAACTTCAAATTTATTAACGTAGAATACCTGAAAAGAGAAGGGTCGAGAGACTGTTTTCCAGTCTGATTCCATTTTTCTTTCCGCGACAATGAATCGTACGGGATCGATAAGTACAATGGTCGAATAATCCACTGGATATTCCTTTTGTACTACCGATGGTATTCCCGTCATATCTGCAACCTGAATATAATTAAACAATTAAACAAGTTTCATTGGATACGGCAATGCAACACGAGAGCGATTTGCCAGAGATGGCTGTCTGAAGGACTTAGTAAGAGAAACAGGCCCTCATTTATTGATATGTATAAGATAAAGTGTAAATTATCTTAACTCACAGATATGTTTAATTATCTGATATTACATTAATTTATGATACAAGTTAATTGAAAATCATTTTAAAGTTAAAGTTATAGATACCGATGCTGAATAATAGAATGTAATAGATAACAAATACATATTTTACAATTAAAAAAAGCTATACAATAGTTTTAAAACTAAAACTTAAGCAGATTTAACGCTAACTATTAGTTAAAATCTTTTTACATTTTACGATTTTTTAAAAAATAATTTAAAGTCCATAACTGATTAGTTTAGGTCACCAAAGACTTGTATTACGAAAATATTTATATTCTAAGTAGTGTCATTTCTAGTTTTACTCTCTAATATTATAATTAGAATTTTCATATTTATGTTTTATTCACCTGTAAATAATTGCAGTTTGCTGTCAAAGCAATAAACTCACCTTATTCACGACTTGACCAATCATTCCCGAGTACGAACCGTTCGATTCCTTTTTGCCCAGGGATAAAGGTATGGGATGAACTATTTCGTATCTACATGAAAATGATTTCATATATATTTACTGTATATTTTATGTTATTTACTGTAAATATGCGCATTAATACTTTGTAAATTTATTATATTTGTGTGAGGGACGAACAGACCCACAATAAAGTGTTATTTTAAATTTTAATTATTAGAAAATTTAATCGGTTAAATTCGAGCGTTTTATCGAGTTAGGCTAAAAGCCATAAAAATTATTTCCCACGGGGTTTGTTCCTTGTTGAGTCGGATCAAGTTATTCAGGGATGTGTCACCAGGAACTTTGAATGGAAAAGACATATTGGACGGGCGACCGTTAAAGGCCATCACCTGACCTCATGGAAAAAACCCAAGAGGAATGAAAAAGGGAAAAAGAAAAACGACCCCGAAGTCAGTCGTCATCCGAAGTCCCTCTACAAAAGTCGTCATCCGAAGTTCCTCTACAAAAGTCGTCATCCGAAGTCCCTCTACAAAAGTCGTCATCCGAAGTCCTTCTACAAAAGTCATCCTCCAGGATTAAAACCGTGACCCAGGATTAAAACCCGTGACCCAGGATAAAACCCGTGCACCAAAATCCCGAAATAACACCGTGACAGAAGCAACACCATGTCTCCTTAAGAATCTCACCCCACTTCCGTGCTTCCACACATCCGAGATCCAATTAACNTATACATATTTTGGAAATGTTGGGTCGAATTAGTCTAGAATCGATTAATTTTATGGAAGAAAATCTTTCAAACAGCCGTAGTCCGTAAACTTCACACGTGTCGGGCTGTGATTGGCAAAAATTCGCACAAAATTGATTTATAAAGAACGGAACGTATCTACCGTGTTATAGGAGGGTCGACTGTAGTGCTTTATACGGTACATGCAGTATATCTCTCTGGCACTAAAGTTGGTTTCTACTTTAATTAGGCTACCTTAGCGATTTCCATCGCTTTTTGTTTTAGTATCGCGCTGAAACAGGAAGATTCGATGAACAAATTTGCTTTAGCCAACATCTTCCACATCTTTGTATGTCGATTTTCTCTGACGTTATCGTGACAGTCGCGACGAAGAACCAAGAAAAAGTTTCTTAATTTCCTCTTTTTTCTTCAGAATTCCCACCAATGTTGTTTTTGGAAGATTTTCTTGTTTTGCAAATTCGGCTTGCGAAGTTTTATTACCTTCAAATTCAGATACAAGTTCTTATTTTTCCTTCGGCATAAGCGTTGTTAGCTTTTGGATACTCATTTCTAACAGAAATGTGAAACACGTGCTACAAATAACACATGTATGAAAGGTAAGAAAATGCAACATCTTATTCTGCTGCGACATTGATGTAATTTTTTTTGTTTATCTCTTATTATTTTATATATAAAAATACATGAAATAATTCCTTTTGACTCCATTTTAATACATATTTGACTCTCTTTTCTTCATTTTTTAGCTCTTTAAAATAAAGTCAGTTGTTCAGTAATTAATAAGAACTAGAATTTTTAAACACAACATGAGCATGTTGTGTTCTTTACTTTGCAATATATAATGTATAACTATATTTAATGAAAGGGAAACACATTATAGTTATGATCTTCTTTGCTGTTAACTATTTGGCTAGATGAATAATGGGGTAGTTGTTGGGCTAGAAGAGTAACTGATTGAATGTTCAGTAAGGTCAGGTACCTTTATATCCCCAATCATATACTGTATTTGACATTTGGCAAGTTTCAGTTCTGAAAACTTTGCTCCTGCTGTAATTTGCTCATTTTAAACATTTTATTTATTCAAGGGATGATAACTTTTGCTACAGTATTCCCCCACCAGCTGTGATGAAAATGATGAACTCACACATTGATTCTTGTAACTTCAGTTTCATACTAATTAGTCTTGATTATCAGTGTCAAGAATTGAGACAAACTTGTTGACTAGACTGTATCTATATGATTATGTTTCTTCCTGTCCAAAGGTAGTGGGAGTGATAGACCCACCAAACATCTTTATCATGGGTGGACCATGATAAAGATATTTGGTGGGTCTATATTTCCATACTCTGGGATGCAGAAAGGATGCTGGTGGGAGATAGAATTGTTGTGAGAAGAGTTTGTGGATCAGATGGAAGATTATCATCCAACAGAAATGCTGGTTTAAAGCAGTAGATGTTAATATACAAGGAATATTTTATTTTCAGTGGTAATAGTGTTGTAACTTATTGATAAACGTAGTTAACGAAACCATTGCTCAACACAACCTTACTCACTTGAACACCAGCACCCTTCCGACCTACTCCTGTACCACGGGGAAAGTTAGATCGACCTAACATTAGGAAACAGTGACTTCACCCCTAGGGTTGACCACTGTTACACTACCAACATAGATTCTGTCAGTGACCATAGGTATATCTTCACCCAACTGAACACTACTAGTAATACTAATAATCATAGTTTTCACTATACTTGTACGAATTGGCAATTATTCCACAACACTTTCAATAACATTTGGGCTGGTACCTCTCATCACAGTCACTATACTCAGGACACCTTAGACCAGTGTTTTTCAACCTGTGGGTCGCGACCCCCAGGGGGTTGCAAAGCCTTACACGGGGGGGTCGTGGGTAAAAGAAAAAGACAAGTGTTTGTAGGTCCTACACTACAATAAATAAAACTACAATTTCAGTGAGAAGGCTTTGCGCTTTTATTTTAAAGTATGATTGGTTTATCAGTCGATATTTAGGTCTCAACAGAAAGAAAATTAAATACAGTAGTTTTTAAAATCACTGATATAGTTTTAATATTGCCCTGGGGGGTCGCCAGAATTTTTTTAACTTGTAAAGGGGTTGCATATTCAAGAAGGTTGAAAAACACTGCCTTAGACCATCTTGTCACCAGGCTTACAAATACAATCACTAACTCTTACATCATTGCCTTCGAGCTCAAACATTGTAAACACAAAAAAGTTCCTTGGTGGACCACTGAGGTAGAAAACAAAAAAAAAGTTGTTAGGAGATTAAGTGGCCGAGCGGTCTTCGTACCCTAAACACTGGGAGTTCGGTCGTGGGTTCGCGCTGCGATCGGACAGGCTGGCTGCTTGGAGTTTTCCGGGTTTTCTCCTTGCCTATAATGACTGAATAGGAGGCCAGTTCCCCATAAAAGTCCTCCCGGAAGACATTCTTTCCCCTCGCGTAACATCGCGCCCCAGAGACGGCAACGGGAAACCACTCTGGGTACTAACCTTCCCTAGTAAACACCTTGGCGTATTATTAATCTGCGCCGGGTGTCGCCGACGTCAGAAATCTGATATGGCATGAAGAAGAAGAAGAAGAAGAAGAAGAAGAAGAGGAGATTAAGGAGGCAATTTAGGAATGAACAGAACTCGGACATTAAAGTCACATTTAGAGACCAGTACAGACACGAACACAACATTTACAAAACTCTTATAAATAAAACAAGAACTAACACTTGGAAGGATTTCTGTACCAACACTTGCAGTCACAACCCCTGGTCTGAACTGTACTACTTAGCTTGTAAGAAAAAATGCCAGCTCCAAACCCCCTCCACTATCCAGCTCCCAGATGGTCACTACACCAACAACACGGAAGAAACTATCACACACATCTTCACCAGTCTTTACCCTTTGGATGACCCACAGCAGGATGACAATACACAAGCAATCATCCAGAGTTCCACACTCACTCCACCTAATACAGACAATGACCACAACTTCACCTACATCGAGATTTCAAATGTCATCTGTTTGTTTATCAATAACAAAGCCCCAGATCTTGACGGCATAACCACTAGGATGATAAAACATGCGTTTGAGGCCAATCCTACAGCGTTTGTAATTCTCTTCAATATCTGCTTGAACACTGGCCTTTTTTCCTACTCAGTGGAAAAAGGCTAGTGTCAAATTGATTCCCAAACCCACCAGTGCTAACACTTACAAAAAATACAGGCAGATCTGCCTTCTCCCAACTCTGGGAAAAGTGTTAGATGGTCTAATGATTAACAGAAGCAGAGCCCAGATAGAGTTTGAAAACGTTTGTTTATCAATCTTTTTACATGATCACACCGTAAATGATTCTGGTATGTAATTTTTTAGTAAATCCAGTGTGATGAGCAGTGAATTATCTTTATTAACAGGATCACATGGCATCTATCCAAGCATAGACCCCTGCATCAGAATCAGTTCGGCTTCTCTAAAAACAAAGGTACAGTAGATGCCATCCATCTGGTCATTAACTACAACCACTAAGCTAAACAAAACAATCAGCATACTGAAATTATCACTATTGACTTTAGAGGTGCCTTCGATTATGCCTAGTGGCCTTTTATCCTGCAAACATTACATGTTCATCACTGCTCTCAGAATCTTTACAAACTTCTTCAGTCCTATCTTCGCAACAAGAGTGCAGGTGTTTATACAACACAAAATAATGTAGTCATATCCATCACTCAAGGCTGTCCTCAGGGATCCAGGTCTGGTCCTGGTCTCTGGAACATAGCCTATAACTCTATTCTGCATTTAAATGACACCCTGCCTCCTGGCTGCTGCATACAGGACTATGTGGATGATACAATTATCCTAGCTTCACACAGGAACAGTGAATGCTTACTGGACATATACAACAACATTTTCAATAACATCCACCAGTGTAGTATTAAGCATAGGCAACCCATTAACACAGAGAAATGTGAAAGCATGATAGTTGGCAGGAATGTGCCACTTGTCAGGAAGCTTACCCTTCAAATAGATGCTCACAGAATAAAGCAAACAACAGAAATTAAATATTTAGGTGTTATTCTTGACGAGAGACTTAACTTCACACCCCACATCAAATACATCATGGACAAAACTAAAAAGACGGTCAATGCCTCATTAGTATTGCTAGGAACACATGGGACCTTGGCCTTAATGCTACTAAGCATATTAGAGGGATGTAATTCAGCCAGCATTCTTCTATGCTGTACAGTCTGGGGCCACATGGCCGTCAAAGTTCATAACTGTAAAAAACTGTTATCTGTTCAAAGCTGTTATAATTTGAAACACATTGCAATTAGAATTATATAAAGTAATATAACTTAAATTATTTGTATGATTTCAAAAGTTAGATAATTATATACAGTGGGTGATCGGTTAACGAACCGATCGGATAACGAACACTTTTGCGATGAATTTTTATGTTCGGACAACGAACACCCCACAGAACAAACACAAGAAGAAGAGATGTAAAATAATGAATACCCATTGGTCTTCCCTTGTCTTCGGGAAACAATTTGAAACTTTTCAGAGTGTGGGAGACGTTGACATTGACGCTCAAGCCGGTATATACTGATCGGATAGTATTCCTCCGAACTTTGAAATTCTCCCTTTTAATTCCAGCATTTTATTTTTCTGACAAAACAATTCTTTTGTGTATTCNTAGCGTGTCGCAGGGTCGGAGGTAAGTAGTTCGGCTGCTCATCCACTATTGGTCCAGACTCTATCAATCTTCTCGCGAAACGACGTTATAGGAGGTACGTTATACGAAAGTTTCTACAATTTTTTCGCTACGTTATAGGAATTGTCGTTATAGGAACGTACGTTATAGGGGGGTCGACTGTAGTATTATATCATACGTTTTTGAGGAAAATAACATTTTGGTGTGCCGTGTTGAGTCATGTCAAGTCATAGGTGTGCTGCAAGTAGAAAAAGCTTGTGAAACACTGGCTTATATCATGCAGGATGTCACTAGAGGGATCATGTGGGTCACCACATAGAGATGATGATATGTTTGACATGTAGTACCTATGTTTTGTGTGAAATAAAACAAGCTAAGTAGATCTATCTCTACATATTCTTTCTAGTTATTTATCTAACACACATTTGTATTTCCTGGTCAACTAGATAAGGTTACAATACTCTGATATATAAGAACCTCACATAATTGATTTTGTCAGCTTTTGTTATGTTCATATTCTTAATCAATCTCCATATGAAACTTGAAAGTTATATTACATTGTAGCACTTCATGGCTATTATGTATTATTATATTTTTTCTTGTCTTTATTGTTTTTTGTTTATGTTACATCGCATGTATGTTTTTTGTACAGATCCTTTTCTGTTTCCTTCCTCATTACCACCTGTTATCTGATGGCTGGGTTTTTCGATGTGACGATTGGTCTGTGACAGGATCATGTGGGACAGAGTAATGTGGGTTAGCAGGGAGATATAAAAATATGTGTAATGGAGGTGAAAGGTTCTTTTCTCTTCATGAGTGTCCATCGTGAATTGAAGGACATACGTAGCAGGCAGTTAGAAAGAGAACAGAAGAGAGGAGAATCAACCATCACCAGTATTAAGAAAGTTATGGTGCTGAAAGGTAATCCATTTCCATTGAAGGAATAACTAGTAAGGAAGAGGGAATCACCATCTAAAAAAGAGGAGGACTATAGTGTAAAAATCATCAATGATTGTCTTGTTACAAAAGAAAGCTCATAAGTTTGATCATGTACTCTGTTTCCCAAATTTTACTTGGTGTTAAATTTCTGTCATCGGATTCATACTGCTTGTCAGGCAAAGCAGGGCCTAGCGTTTAATAAGGAAATTTGGAAGGGGGATGATCGAGTAGAATTAATACTGTGACGTGATCAGTTTCCATGATTGAACTGTGTATTAGTATTAATATTGTACCGTGTTTTTGGCTCCAATAATCCTTTGCTTGTCAAGATACACATTTCCACTGACTATTCATTATCCCTTCCCTTTGTTTCATTCATCTTCTTTTAAAACTGCAGACCACGTGCCTTGCAGAGTTCACAACATTTTGTTATAGTAATTAGGAAATTAATTCTTAATAGTCATGGCTTAACATAGAAATAGTTTATGAGTGTTTTGTCAAGTAACTGTTCCCATTCACCTACTCTTTTGCATCATAATCACAGTGTGATNTTAAATTTTGGTATGTCCGCTGCTCGTTTAAACTCAACGGTTTGTGCAATCCTGTCACGGCACGAGTCGGCGATGACGTTTTATCGAATTATAGGAGTTTTTTAGCATGTTTGTACGAATACTGTCGCAATTTTTTCGCCGTGATATAGGAATCGGAAGTATACGAACCCGTGTTATAGGGGGGTAGACTGTATTTTCAATTATGGATAATACTGTAATGACATAATATTGTTGTTAAACCTCAAATTTAATACAGTTAATTAGTGAAACATAATTCTTTGTAACTGATTTCCTTCCAAATGAAATTTTCTGGCCAGCATCGATAACTGCGTTTAGGTGTAAACAAACTGTATCAAAAGATGAATTTGTTTTAAGACTTATGGAAGTAGTAAAACGAAAGGTTGCACACTAATAATAATAGAGCATATCCAACATTTTTCTATTATATAGTTTTGTTTTATGTAAGTAATTAAAAAACAAGACATTATGATTACTAATAAGAAAAAATATCACAAGTATATTTAATATTATAGTAGACCCCCAAAAACACTGTAAATAATTCCTTGTTATATGAATTCCATGTAGTATGAGTGACTTAGATTTTACAAATACGTGTGCCGGACTGCGAACGGCTCACGCATTTGTAAAATCTAAGTGATTCGTACAACATGGAATTCATATAAAACGGAATAATCAACAGTGTTATAGGGGGTCGACTGTATATAGTTTATATTTATTATTTAATTCAACAATAACGAATGTTCAAGTAGAAACAGACTTCTTACTGCGAAATGAAATACAGTCGAAAATGGATCCATCAGAAAATTCAATATCTCATAAAAGAAATTATTTTATGTAACTGGGAGTTCATGTAAATTTGTTTTTCTTCCCGTTTGTAGAAAAAAGTTTAATCGTTCTTCTGGTTTATTTTACGTGCCTTTTGTTTATCTAAAAAAATTACAATTAAAGTAAGAACAACATTTATTGATAACATCATGACAAAAACTAATTATTTAGAGAATGAAGAAATACGCCGTGAAAAATGTATTTATTCGGTTTATCAATAAGAGATCAGATCATACGTAATCAAATTCATGTTATTTTGTTATTTTCTATCTATAAGTTAAATTAGTTAAAATATTTTGTTTGGAATAGTGCCTTCAGTAGGCAGATGCAATGGATAAACAGGCACAGTAAAAAAGCTCAGAGAAAAGAGACATACAGTAGACCCCCCTATAACGCTTAGATACGTTCCACGCTAACCGAAAATTACGTTGTAGGAATGATTAAATACATGAGCCAATCGCAGCCCGATAGGTGGGAACTTTACGGACTAAGGCTGTTCGAAAGGTTTTCTTCTATAAAATTAACCGATTCTAGACTAATTCGACTCAACATTTCCAAAACACGTATAATTTTTTGGGAGTAA